AGGAGGGGCGGGGCGGGGAGGGGAGGGGAGAAAGAAGAGGAGAGGAGAGGAGAGGAGAGGAGGGGCGGGGCGGGGCGGGGCGGGGCGAGGCGAGGCGAGGCGAGGCGAGGCGAGGCGAGGCGAGGCGAGGCGAGGCGAGAAAAAAGAAAAGAAAAGGGGGATAGCGAAGCTGATTTCTTTTCTGGATTAGCCTGAAGAATGAAAACCTAGATAAATAAGAACATTAGGAAGTTAAATGCCTTCAGGAGTGATGGTTTAAAACTAGCTTTATATGTTGCTCTGAGGAGCAACCAGAGGGGGTCCTGTTGAAGGTATTCCTATCCTGGGAGCCTGACTCTGGCTGTGGCTGGCTGGTAATATTTAGGAAGAAGCAGAACTACAAAATGATGCTTTCTCCACTGTGTCTACTATCTCCTGCCTCCTTCCACAATAGTTGCCTGTTGTTAACATGATCCCAAATTCACCAACAGCAAAGGTTAGTATAAAAAGGGTACAGCAAGCAACAGCACTCTTCAAGCATTTACAGCTCAAAAATGTTTTTCATACAAAAGAGGCTTTGTAGATCAAATGCACGTGTAGGTTTGAGCTTGAAAAAGGTCTGCTAATCAGCAAAACCACTGCTGCTGTGTAGGGAAAATTAGGATCCAGAATAATCCAGTTTAGATTGTAAAAGTTTGCAGAGACACATGCTCTACACACGAATATTTGTGAAAATGAAATTAATTTTAACCTCATGAAAGTTTATATTAAATGTAGAGTATATCTCAGTAAGCACCTATAACAGTATGGATCCTTCAAAGTGAGAAAGCCACTACTCCTCTTGCTTTTAAGTGAGAGCGCTGCACACAAGTTTCTTTCTTTCCTGAATCATTTTGTTTTGCTTTTGGAGATCTGATTTTAAAGCAGAAAGCTTCCTGAAGAAACTAGACAAGTGTTTCATTTATTAATTTTAGGAAAACCTTGTTCAAAATTATTAAGGATGTTATGTCTTTTAGGTGCCAGATACTGAATAAATCAGATTCAAGGCTGCATGTATGTATGAATAACTTATCTGTCTTTCAAATGCTATATATTAAATTACAGTACCCTAATAGTTACCTTTGCAAGTATAAACCCTTTTTACAGGCTCCAAGTTCTCAAAGACCTAAATAAGGCACTTAAATAGCTTCCAAGAGTGAGACTTTTGCCTTTCAGAATGTCATTAGATAATACTCTTAAAATGTTGCTTTCATGTCTTCATTACACTCTACTTTTTTCTTTTTCTTTAAAATTAGATTTTTAGATTAAAAATTGAAGAGAATAAAGTTGATCTATATGTTTAAAAGCTAACAGAAATATATTAGTGACTCTCAGCTGCCCGTCCTGAATACATTGTGATACTGAGAAAGCGGAAATAAAACAGGGAATGTTTGTTTGCTGTATGTTTGTGCCTTGTATTCACCAGCAAAGCTGGAACAGATGGACAGGGCAAGCTGGTTGTTTTGATTCACTCAGCATTTCTCTCGAGGTGTCTTAGGCTTCATTGGCTTTACTGAATGTGCTTCAGGATTCCATGATCAAGAGTTGTTTAGACTGGTTACAATCTAAGCCTCATTAAACACTCGTGAAATACCCATAAATCCCCAGCAGGTTGCTGTGCTGGAATGCAAGGGCTACTTTCTGGAGCTTGAAAATCAAAGACCCATTCCTCCAGGAGACATGCAATCTAAAAGAAAGTGGCATGAAGCCATAATTCACTGTCATAATGCTCATGAACTTTATAAATATTACAGTGATGATCTAGCAAAGGTTACGTGTTGGATCATGAAGAAGTAGTTTGCATCTGCACACCTGGTTGGTAATAGGCTGCATAAATCTTGGCACAGGAAGATATTTGACCCTGAGAATGCAAACTACCTGTTTCTGCTTTTGGTGTTTAGAAATGATAATATTTTTTGTCAAAGCCTCTGATGTGCTTTGCAGTTTATGATCCCCTCAGTTTAAGCCACTAGGCTTAGGGCTTTACTGTTGTGTGCTGAGTGTGTGTGATGGTTACAGGTGTAGTAAGCCATGAAAACAGCTTTAGTGACTCAGAGAGCTTGTGGTGTTCTTGGGCACGTTGGATTGATGATATTAATTACACACTAAATTGAACAACTAATTTAGATGTTACCAGGTGAAGTGTGATTTCTGTCTAAACCACTGATAAAATTGCAGTAGTGGTTTCCCTGATTGGGTACCAACTGAAGTGGCTTCTTCCTCTTTCCTCTGTATGTGGCTCAGTTTCCTTATAACAATTGTGGTACTTTAGATTTCAGATACTGAACTACAGTGGTTTCCCTCTGGTTTGAAGGGAATAAAAATCCAACAAATGAGAACTGAGAACAATTTAACCTTATAAAGCAGGACTCAAAAAGAGTCTTAACCTCAGATAAACCTATCTCCTTTGTGTTGAGTTTTTCAAGATGTCTTGTTCTATTTTGTTCAGCTCTTGTGTTTGGTGAAAGGCTCTGTTATTCTTCCAGGCTTGCCATTTAAATTTTGGTTTAATATGTTTTCTTGAACTGTTTTAGAATATTTTTTATATCTTCCTGGGCCTCTTAGTACTCTTTTCTAAACAATTCACCAGGGAAGTCCTCTCCACAGGACAGTTCCAACCCCACAGCAGAGGTCCCCTTGTCATGGTGTTTGGAGGAAAGGCTGAATTCTCTGCATCCTTGGGAACTGCTGTCTAGGCTTCTTTAGTCTGAGAATTTTAACTCTCCAAATGTCATGGCTCTGAGCGCAAAAAAAAAAAAAAAAGTTGAACCTGGAATTGCCCTTAAAGATTCAGCTGTGACATAGACTCACCTGTCTCCACAAATAACCATACTCTAATTTTTCAGTCAGGGAAGGAAATAACAACTTCTGGGTGCACAAACACAATAACATTTGATTCCTCTGTATATTT